TATATATATATATATAGTGTATTAATACAGTAATTACATTAGTTATGTAATTCTTTCATTAATATATAATTCTTTGACATTGTTGACACATTTTCTTACCTCAATTCTGAATGACCAGGCCTCTTGCTTAAAGAAAGAAAACCTCAAACTTTTGCCCACCGCTGATCCAGATTTAGCAGAACAAATCAATAAATTGCAACACACAAAGCGTGTTTAGTTAGTTGTCTTGATGGGCGTATACTTTTGTGCATTTACATTTTAGCGTGATAGATCAAATTAAAGCAGAATGATGTTTTATGGTGGGTGCAAAACGGAAAATATGTTGTTTTTATTTCAAACAATAAATACCGTACAGAAAATGTTTGAAAACGTCTGGAGTTGTTCAAATTTAGAGTTCCGTTGTGACGTCATATAAGATTTCAACGTAAAAGCGCAAATGCGCGATAGCGTGTCTTTTCTGTCAGCTGTTAGTGCTAAATGCAACTCATATTGATAATAACGAATTCACAGTCCGAATATGATAAAATCAACATTGTACTCGTCTCTGTCCTCGGGAGAGCCACAGTTGCTATGACTAACTTAACTTATTTTGAAAAGGCCAGGACTTGACTTCCCATTCAGCGGCCAGACTCGACCTATAGACTTCCGGTCCTGCGCGTTGTCACCTCGTCCGTCGTCCGGCTCGCTTCGGCGGGGATGCTGCAAGAAGCGATGGAGTTCAAGTCTCCCAAAGACACTCGAGCGTCGGCCGGGGTTTGAGAGATAAAACACGGACGCCGAGCCGAATACGAAGCGATAAAGACAATTAAAACAAAGATTTTGGAGATGAAGCTGCTGAAGCCGAGCTGGGTCAGCCACAACGGTAAGGAAGCGAATCTCATGGATCAAGTTGGTGCTTTTGTTGTTGTCGTCGGCAGAGGCTTCCGAGCGAAGTGATGGCGTGGTAGGACACAGATGGACGTCGACACCCGGCGCCGTTTCCAAGTTGAAACCGCAGCATTAATTTTAGGCACTAAACACCAAAGCGGTTTTCCCTCGGAGCACAAATGTTTTTATACCCCAGCTACCAAGCTAGCTACCCCCTTCCCGGCTAGCTTTTGGCGTTAGCCAACATTGCTACACGCTGTCACTTGGCTTATTTAACCATTAGCATGCCTAACGAAATAACACGTATGGGTCGTTTTCAGTAAAAAATGCTTTCATCTATGTGTCATAGACATGGATAGTTTTCTCCTATTGCTCGTGGTTTCTCGACAAGTGAAGTACACGTGACACCCCCCCAACACACACACACACACACACACACACACACACACACACACACACACACACACACACACACACACACAACCAACAC